TAGATGAGACGTAATTGCGTACTTACCGTTACTGACAGCAGTGACCTTCGAAAAATTGGTACTGTAAAATTTTGTCAACGAAAAGGTTCATTGTTTGTATTCGGAACCTAATGACATTCAACTAACTAAACTGTAGCCTGACCAAGTTGAGTGCCACTAGGAAAGAGCAGGAGTTCTCGAGATTGCTGCATGCGCGCCACTGAGCCCGTGACTACGACCCTTCTCCTCGTGGGATATAGAGTGTCCTTATGAGCACGATTACGGCCGGCAAAATGGACACGCAATTTGGATTTATGCCTGTCGTTCCATCAAGCAACAACTTAGCGCGACTGCGTTAACCGTAAAGGGGACATCTCTAATTAGGCGCTTCAGCTGAGCCGGTGCCAAAACTTGAAATTACGGCAGCTGCAGCACCCTCGTCACTCACTACGGGATCGCGAAAGTGGAACAGTCTCTGGTTCTGGGAGTGAACCACTTGCACAAGGAAGGACGTCTTAGAAGTGGGACGCGTTTAAAGAGGCACTACTTGATTCACATTTCACAACTTTTCATTTTAGAAAGTAACAGTTTGAGCAGTCGGCACTAGACAGCCAATTCTTATCAAGTACACAGTACAATTCCACATCCCCGAGACGTGGTAGGCGTGGCTGCATTAATCATTTGGAGGATGGTTATCCGCGGGATATTTCATTCGAGTTAACTGTTATCTTGTCTTGTATTGGTCACAGGTATACTAGCAATTGTCCTCGAATAAAACAATCCCACCAGCCACATCCACCGATCTGTGTACTGGGATCAGGCACATACCAGAAATCGGTCCATGATGAGCACATTCCTCCAGCTACCATCCACTTTAAATGAAGTACGCAGCCAAGCCCACCCTCTAAGCCGATTCGAAGTGTATATGTGGCTCTCTGCGCAGACTCCATATGGCATAATGTAGTCATTAGTGCTGTAGCAGAGTATAATCCAGATTGAGAACGACAAGGGAGTTCCACTTTCCTCTTACTCTCGTTCTGCGATCTCATCTACGAGAGACCTGTTTCAATTTCGAAGATCGTATATAAACACGGTCCATACCCGCTGTTTGTTTTCGATCCTTCTCGGAGGGAAATCTCTACCACTTTACGAGGCTTTATGCACGTTGTCGAGCTAATTAAAGGTTTCTTGATGTATACCTTGAAGAGGGCCTTTTGTTTTTGTCCGTATTTTTAGAATAGTTCCTTCACTTTCAGGGTAAACTCATAAATCTACATAATATCGATTTTCGAACTCCAACTACCCACGGTTGACTCGGATTTGTTTTCAAAGGCACAAGGTGGCCGATCAATCCACAAAACATGTGAGATACATCCGCTTAGCAGTATGGAATTTCGTGCTATTGAGCAAGCGCTGCAAGACACCTTTTCCAGCGAAGGTTCCCCCTATAGTGCTCTATCAACCTGCAACATACCAGGCCAGACGTCCACCGCGCCCGCCTGCCCACCTCGCGACGGGATGGGATGCTCGTATAGCTCGAGTCTAATATAGAAGCGAAATGATGATATGAAGCTGCTGCGGTCCTGCATGTACAGGCGGGAGGCTAAAAAAGTCACTTTTCTTCATTGACTTTCGAGGCGCTATAAGTTACACTTTATTAAATTCTTATCGGACATTTCTACCACCATATTAAAGAGCATATTAAATACTATCATGATACTCCGCCACAGCCTTCTGGAGGAGCGCCATCGAGAGATTCTGCCACGCGACCGTCAGTGGGTGCGTGAGTTCAGCGAGATCGTTGATTTCTCCGCCACTGTAGACCACCCTATTGAACTCCGCCCGAACCAGGTAATTGAGGGGTTTAGGTCAGGTTACCTGCTCAGATATTCCACCTTCTTCAGGTACTCAACGCCCTTCCATTCCAAGTAGGCAAGAGTTTTCCACCACCCCTTTCGATTCCATTGTCGATGTCACCAATCCTGTACAGTACAAAGTTCCAAAAAAGTACTGCGACGACATTAGAAGAGTGATATCTTCCTCGAGTTGCTCGATGTAACCGCCAGCGCTCACCTTTAGTCCGGGGCCCACGAAATATCGGTCTCTCCATTCCAGGTACGTCCGGTCCCCACCATCAACTGGCGCCTTGGCGACTGAGGTGAAGATGATGTCCTAGACCGTAGCGACGTTGACGGAGCTGCTCGATGATGGAGGTTTTCCATATTGAGAGTACTGCTCTCCAGGTAGCTATTTGAGGAGGTAGATTCAATACTAGAGTTCGCAGTGTTTCGAGGTACATGAATTCGAAAGGTCTCCTCCATGTCAATTGCGCTGGAGATACATCATCATTTTTGGTGTACATAAGATGGGAGCGAGCGCCCAGCTCCTTGCTTATACGAAGGAACATCTTGGGTATCTTCCAGCCCTGGGCCTGCGAAAACTTGCTGAGTACTGTTACTCGGGTTGAAAGTCTTTTTTTGACCCCCCCCTGTATATATGAGACCAAGTGCAGCCGTGTTTACCGTAGCGATTATTGGAACGGTCCCATCGGAAACTCATCCGAAAATGATTTGTGAGTCATGTGAAAAAAAGGTTTCTTTCTGCTGCTTTCTCACCAGTTCTCTTTGCTTTTTCGCTATTTTTCCACTGAATAACACCCGTGCTATAATTTTATACCAACTACCAGTTTATCCTGCCTTAGGTCTTTAAACGTCCACGCATTGCCAAACCTCAAGTCAGTTTCCTTGCCCAACAAAGGTAACCTGCTCTGTGGGCTGTGAGGCACAGTGTGTATTCGGGAATAACCCGACCTATCGACTCCATTCTACTTTACGCTATCGCTTCGTATGAAATCCATACAGAGTTAAGTTCGTAACATTCAGGTAATGGAGTATACCGGACGAGCTCAGTACAGAGGACCGGTAATCTTCCTTGGTGCGTATGCGAGCATTGCCATTGTGCCTTACTTGTTAGCTGTGGGGATGTCCGTAGGTATCCTTACCGATACTCACAAATTTCGATCAGAAATGGAGGAGAATTTTAGGATTTTCCAGGTGGAGAGCGTTTGATTTCACTTCTATGTATAAAAAAAGTACTCACTGATTGAAAAGCTTGATGTTAAGAATGATGCCAATGATCTTTGAAAAGATTGCAGCGAAAGCGGCCGAGGGACCGTCTTACGTAGCGACTGGAAACGCCTACACTGCCGGATGCTCATGCATACCATCACAGTGTCCACAAGGACCTCCTGGACCACCTGGACCTGATGGTTATCCTGGTGAACCAGGCCTCCCAGGTAGCAACGGTGGACCTGGGCGGAATGGAAACGATCTTATAGAGAGTATTAAGAGCTGCATCAAATGCCCTCAAGGACCACCAGGGTTCCCTGGCCAACCTGGACCAGCTGGTCCAGCTGGAGCTCCCGGTTCACCTGGAGTTCCAGGAAATAGTGGGGTTGCTGGAACACCTGGTCCAGCAGGACCTCCTGGACCAGCGGGCACGCCTGGTCGCCCTGGACCTCTTGGTCCGCCAGGCATTCCTGGAAACAACGCGCAAAGGAAAAGAAATGTTGCTGGACCACCCGGACCACCAGGTCCACCAGGAAGTCGTGGACAACCTGGCCCTAGTGCACCTCCTACAGCTCCTCCACCTGCCGGTCCCGCAGGACCACCAGGAAGCCCTGGAAAACCAGGCATGCCGGGATCAACAGGTGCGCCTGGTCCTCAAGGATCAGCAGGAGCTCCAGGGACAGATGCTGCATATTGCCCTTGCCGGACAGATCAACAAGCAGATGCCGTGTCGAAGGATGAAGTTACTGGCAATAGCTTTGTATCACGCGCGATGCCAAAACCACCAGTTGGGCTGAGTGAGGCCGCCAAGGCATTCATTATGCAGCAAAGCTTTAATATG